ACACTGCCTTTTTACAGACCCTTCTGGAGAGTGTAACCCTGATCTGCGTCTTCGTGGGCACCAGAAGGAAGGTTATGGGCTGTCATGGAACCCAAACCTGAGTGGGCATTTGCTTAGTGCTTCTGATGATCACGTGAGTACTTTAAATATAGCTGGGGTACAGTCTGCTCTCCGTGTCCCTAGGCAGAGGTAAAAACTGGTTTGGTTTTGAGGGGGGGGAGAAGCGACTGTCTGTCTAAAGATGTAATTTTTAAAAATGTTGTTGTTTTTGTTTGTTTGTTTGTTTGTTTTTATAAAGACCATTTGCTTGTGGGATATTAGTGCTGTTCCAAAGGAAGGCAAAGTGGTGGATGCAAAGACCATCTTCACGGGCCATACAGCAGTAGTGGAAGATGTATCTTGGCACCTGCTCCATGAATCTCTGTTTGGATCTGTTGCTGATGATCAGAAGCTCATGATGTAAGTGGGGTGATGTCTTCAGAAACTGAGTGCTTCTGTCCCTTGAGCTTTCCCATCTGCTCTTTGGTTCCTCAATAAAATGGGATGTAAACCTTTGTTCTAATTCCATGTTTTCCCCTTGCAGTTGGGACACCCGGTCAAACAACACCTCCAAACCCAGCCATTCGGTGGACGCTCACACAGCTGAAGTCAACTGTCTCTCCTTCAATCCCTACAGTGAGTTTATCCTGGCCACAGGGTCAGCTGATAAGGTACGTCTACCTATTTGTTTAGTTTCTGATGCATAAGTGGGGATGCATATATTGGTTATTTCAATAAGAAATATTTTTGGTTTTTTTTTTCCCTAGACTGTTGCCCTGTGGGACTTGAGGAATCTAAAACTGAAGTTGCACTCATTTGAATCACATAAAGATGAAATATTTCAGGTATAATACGTGCACATAGACTTTGTTCTACTTGTTTGTCTGGAGGAAATTAAAAGCATTCTTCTCCACTCTGCATTCTTATTAAATATACTTGCACTTAAAAACTCATGTATTCTATTTCGCTCATCTGCTGATAGCTTTCTATCTGCTTGTTGTGGAGCTGCATAGTGCTGTGTGTGGGGCAGATTTCAGTACAGACAAATAAGAGTGTCCAGAGAGGCAGGGGCAGAACGTAGCGAGGAAATGGTCGAGGGCTTTAACCGCAACAGGAGGGTGAAATGCAAGCAGTAGGGAGAAAATGTAAATTATTCATGGCAGCAGATTGAAGCAGGGAGGCACAATGGGACGGCTGCGGTGTTTTCATCTTCTCGGCTCAGTCCTGAAGGAAGGTTTTAGCCGGTACCCGTTAGAGGGGATCATTGGGAAGTCCTGTGACAACGAACAATTGCTAATTTTGCTGGTGTAAATATAGAATGTTCACATCATGGGTAGCATGTGCTTAGCAGATACAATATTTCCATCTCCAGATCACGCCCTACTCAGAAGAAAAATATGTAGAGATTTTTTTTTTTGTAGAAGGATTACTAGTTAAGACTGTAGTTACTTCTAAATAAAATTACACATGGAGTCTTGAAGTGTCATGTTAGTGTGCAGAATTACGTGTTCTTTTTTAATCCTGTGATCTGATTAAGTGGTATGTTTTGGAGAGATTTATTTGCAGCAGAAGTAAATGTGAGCTTTTGGGCAGTTAAGCTTAATTACAGTGATTTCTTTTCATGTGTAAACTGTACTACTTAAGGAATCCATAGTTTATATTTGTGCAATCCTTATTAAGGTAAGGAGCAGCTAATGCCCTCGTGAGCTGCTTTGCACTTTGTAACACATGGCCTTTATTAGAGGAAAGGTTATGTGTGGTACCTTTTTTGTGCTTAAATGCCTTTTTAGGGTATGAATGTTCACAAACCAACCTCCTGTGTTGGAGTGTTATTATCAGGCACATTCATATTTCAAGTTAATATCAATTTGAATTCTCATAGAGTTTTCAGGATACTAAATACTGATGTTTGTTGTGAATGTCTGTCACGTTACAGTTTCTTAAAACTAACTTCCTTTCTAAATTCATCCTTGTCTGTAGGTTCAGTGGTCTCCCCATAACGAAACCATATTGGCCTCCAGTGGCACTGACCGCAGGCTAAACGTTTGGGACTTGAGGTAATTCCCAAATTAGTCACATTATTCTGGCGAAATATTATTGCTAAATTACATCACACTTCAAAAAAACAAACCAACCTCCCCACCTTTATGTTTTTCCTCCCTTTTTTTACAGTAAAATTGGAGAAGAGCAATCCCCTGAAGATGCTGAGGATGGTCCCCCAGAGCTGTTGGTAAGTCATTGGAATCTCACTGACTATTTGGATCTATTTTTCATCTCTGCGATGTAGATTTGAAACCATTCTCCCTTTTTTTTCTCCCCCACCTCCAATACTAGTTTATTCATGGTGGTCATACTGCGAAGATATCTGATTTCTCCTGGAATCCCAATGAGCCCTGGGTAATTTGTTCTGTATCAGAAGATAATATCATGCAAGTCTGGCAAATGGTAAGTGGTTTGGGAAGGTGCAGGAGGTGTAGAACTGCCCGGATTTCAGTATCCTGGGTCTTATTTACAGCTCTCAGCATGAGCTGCATTGTAGCGCTGCCTAAATCTCACAGGGACAGCGAAATCCTCTCTAGGTTTGGTCCTAGAGATGTTGCAATGTTTTGGAGATGGGGCTGTTAGGAAATAAGGTCGTTTGTGTTGCTTTATTAATGTTAAATTGCCTTGAGGGATCAGGGATGGCTGAGAACAGAGGAAAGAACAGAGAGTTGTTCTCTGTGGAACAGAGAAGCTGTGGCTGCCCCATCCCTGGAGGGTTCAAGGCCAGGTTGGAGGGGGCTTGGGGCAACCTGGTCTGGTGGGAGGTGTCCCTGCCCAGGGCAGGGGGTGGCACTGGGGGGGCTTTAAGGTCCCTTCCAACCCGAACCATAGAATCTGTATGGATTTTATGATCCATATCTACACATGAAAAACTGCCACAGCTTTCTAAAGTGTTCTAGCTGATCCTGCTCAGTGTGGTGACAAAGTGCTTCTTCAGTTCCTCTGTCTCTGTCTTGCAGGCGGAGAACATTTATAACGATGAAGACCCTGAAGGAAGTGTGGATCCAGAAGGTCAAGGATCCTAGATGATGACTTTTTCTTGGTTTTAGTCTTTTTTTTTTTTTCTTTTCTTCCCTCTCAACCCCAATATTGACTTAACACTGGTTTTGAGACACACGTAGACTTTGTGTTCAGCCATCCTTCTGTAGATACCATCACCAGGCTTTTTAACCCAGACAGTGAGTGCTCCCGAAGAAAAAAGGGCTGAGCCCGGCTCTGCTGGTCCCGTGCTGTAGCTCCTCGCTCAGATCCACAGCAACCTCTTGCCTTTAGGGCTGGCTATCTCATTTTAGTTTCCTTCATCACACAAAGCAAACTAGATTTTGTTGGTTTGTTTTTTTTCCTTCTTCTTCTATCTTTTAGCTTGCTTACAGCTGCGGGCTTTTGCCTAATTTAAGTAAAAATTAACTCGGTGGAGCTGCCAAAGTGTGCAAGAGCCAGTGGAGATGATACGAGCGTTAATCCACTGGCAGTTCAGAAATGGAGTGTTGGAAGGTCTTGTCCTCTCAGTACAGCTCAGAAGTCTTGGGATTCCTTTAATTAATCTCTACCTTGTGGAATCTTTTTCCTGCCTCTGCAGATACAAAACAGATTTGCAGATTGTAAGTTGAACTGAAGTTCCTTTCTATATTTGTTTTGTTTCTACTGGTAATTCTGGTTTTTTCATTCCTTCCTTCCTTTCCCTGTTCTCCCATCTGCTGGGCCACAGCGGTTTGGATTCGTTAGCTGCAGAGCATTGTTCACCTTTTCATGGTTCTTTGTTTTGCTCTATTGTGTGTTTCTTGAGCTGTGTTTTCACATAAATATTTCTTTCCTTTCTGTGAAATGGTTTTTAAAACTTGGGGGCCACCAAGTTGTAAAGGTGTATGTTTTTACCAACTGATGTACCACAGATGGCGTGTCCGGGAACCTATAACAGCGTTGGTAGCTGGTGCCTGTAAAGCAATTTAAATGTGGATAAACTACTTTTTTTAGGAGTTAGTCCTTTGACCACTAGTTCCTGCACATCTTCCACTAGGGTGTCCTGTTCCACCAGCAACCTGTTACTCTCCGTGCTCCTCATGACTAATTGCGTGTAAGTGCTTCAGATGGAATAAATTTTTTCTACGTAAAAGCTGTGGAGCTCTGTGATTTGTGCACTGGGGTTTTCCTTCCACATCAACCCTTTCTCCAGGGTAGGCTCTTCAGGGAGCAGAGAAAGCAAGGGCATAGTCCCTACCCGTGTGTGTCCTGTGGGACTTGGTGCTGGTATAGATGCTCCTTGTGTTTGTACACCTGGATTCTTTCTTTGTGAAATGCAGCCAAGAATGAAGTGGATTTTGGGTCTGCCTTCAGCCCTTCCCCCAGAACTATTATTTTTTTATTATTAGTCTGCAGAATAAAGAGTCGGGTACCTTCCAAGTATCCTGCTTTGACATATTTTCTTTTTGAGACATAGTTTTGAGAATGAAAAGGATTCTTAAATTCCAACCTTTATTTTCAGTGTGAGACTTTTTATATATAAAGTGGAAACCTATTGTCCACAAACTCCCTCCTGTGGCCCGCGGTGGAGCGTGTCACAACACAGCAGAGACCCTTGGAATACAAAAGAAAATCCTCTTAAAAGGATAGAGCTTCTCTTGCATGTAAACTTTAAAAATCAACCCCCCCCAACACTGGCTTCCAGAACAACGCTCCCTGTGCAGGCGTACACCTTCCACCTATGGAACAAGGCAAGATACATTATTATTATTATTTTTTTTTTCAAACACAGCAAAACCATACAGTATAACATTCTTCATTTATGTCCATTGTTCAGTGCAAGTATTATTTTTCTCTGCTCCTCTCTGGGAAAGCAGTTTTACTGCGCCATTGACAGCAGCCCCTTGAGAGAGTACGAGTGAACCGAGGGGTGTTTCTGGCTGGGGGCAAACCCCCCCCAACACTGGCTTCCAGAACAACGCTCCCTGTGCAGGCGTACACCTTCCACCTATGGAACAAGGCAAGATACATTATTATTATTATTTTTTTTTTCAAACACAGCAAAACCATACAGTATAACATTCTTCATTTATGTCCATTGTTCAGTGCAAGTATTATTTTTCTCTGCTCCTCTCTGGGAAAGCAGTTTTACTGCGCCATTGACAGCAGCCCCTTGAGAGAGTACGAGTGAACCGAGGGGTGTTTCTGGTTTGGGCGGCTGCTGGGCCTCAGGCAGGGCCCGTGGCAGGAGGGCACGTCCCCTGCAGGTGCCTCTGTCCTTCAGTTCTGCTACAAAGAGGAAAAATCCACAGTTTTTAGCAGTCCTGGTCTTCTTTTTCTTCCGATTTGCAAAGGTGGCCGTAGATTTCTAAGCAGCCCCTGTGTGGAGAGAAGGTAAGTTTAGGAGACGGAGTATTTATTTAAGGTGCTCTGGCTGGAGAAAACTGGGAAGAGGTGCTATTTCTGAAGAACATTCTTTTCAGGTTAGGGGAGAAAAGTAAGTAGGAAACAAACTGGCTGGGTACACGGTCTTGTGAGTGCGTGGACAGAGCCCAGCCCAAGAGCCCTTGGCCAGGAAAGCTTTAACAGCAGGGAATGTCATTTTTGGTGTGAGCAGCGGAGACGCTGGCTCAGGGCCCTCCTTAACCCCCAGGTCCCCGGTTCCAAGGGGAAACTCCATGAGGTGTCCTGCCACCTGAGAGGCCTCCCGCCCTATCGCTTCCAGGGATGGCAAGTTAAAGATTGAGAGCCACGGTGCTGCTCCCGGAGTTCCTGCCACCAGACCCCTTGCTCACACACTGGCCAGGAACCAGGAGGAAAAAGCCCGTGGTGTGACCACCAGCCTCTTCCCCACCATCTTCCTCCTCCCAGCCCCTCCGCGCCGCAGGGACGAGCCACCAACGCACTTGTAGATGGAGAGCTCCCGGTGGAGGCTGGTTCTCAGCTCCTCCAGTTCCTGATTCTTGCGCTGCTGGAGCTGGACCCCGTTTTTCAGCTCCTTCAGCCTGTCTTCCAGCTCCTCAACCTGCTCCTGGGGAGTCAGAAGACACGAGTGGATGAGCTGGGGGAGGAAGGCTGTCTTGGTTCCTACGCTCAGCTGCTGCCCACGGTCTCCTGGGGGTATCTGCCTGTCCGTGGTGTTGGTCTGGACAAAGCCCAGCCAGGCTGGTGGCCAACCACCATCTTTAAAAAACCTCCAAGAAAAAAAATAATCTTTATTTTATTAGAAAGGTGGGAGTTAGGGTTGGGATGTGCTGTGTTGGGTCCTTAGTTGATTTTGTCCCCTAGACTACTTCGTGTGTGTTTTGAGAAGCTGCCAGAACTGTATAAACCTGTGAGTCAGGAGAAGATAAACGAGGAATTTGGGAAAAAAAAAAGAAAATGAGGAGGCACATCAAGAATGCCCCAAGTCCTGCCCTCCCAGGGAGAAGGAGAGATCCAAGAGGAGCAGTGTCACAGGCACTGGGGACCTGGTCCCCAGCAGAGAGGAGAAGCCACAGAGGGGACACGCCAGCTTCGAGAAGCTGCTGGGAGCCTGGCTGGGAGGAGGCAGCGATTACGAGCCGAGAACAGGGAGTGTTGAAATGGGGGAGATTAATTGTGGAGCCTCTTTGCCAAATGTGCTCTTGTAGATATTGAATTGCCTCGTCCCTCAGGACGTGGTGACAGGGGGGACAGACACATGCACCAGGCACAGACAGAAATAACCCTCTCAGGAGGCAGCCGGGGCTGCGGGCGCAGGAGGTGAGACCCTCCTGGCAGTGGGAAGGGCAGGATCTACCCCGGCAGAGCTGGGCTTTTAAAGAAAAGCCATAATTTTTTTTAAAAAACCCTGACTTTTCCAAGTGCCTTTGCTCAGCAAAGTGCAACTGAGTGTGAGCTGTGCCTGGCAGCATCGCTCGGCTCTGCCACTCTGGGAATGGACCCCCCTGTCTCCTCTGCCTCGTCCCTGCTGGCTGGGGCCATTTCTGAGGGGCAGGTCAAACCCAAGTAAGGATACAATCAGGAGAAAGCTTTTTTTCCAACAGCTCATCGGGTGCAGCCCCAGCATCTTCCCACCACACCCCTGTCAGCTCAGGTTTGCCCTTTGCTCAGGGGCTGCTGCTTCTCCTGGCCAGTGCCAGGGCAGGGGATGCTTTTGACTTCAACCAGCAGGAGATATTCCACCTCCTTACCCACCTCATCCACCCCGCTCCTCCCCTCGGCCCTACGAGCAACATCGCCCACGTTTCACCGGCTGCAAAGAACGACTCCCGTTCTCCAAAGAGGAGGGTGCCAGGGGCGATGGGGCACGTACCCGGTACTGCCCGACCTCCTCGTCCCGCTTCTGCTTGACGAGGACGATCTGCTCCTCCAGGCTGCGGTTCTGCAGCCGCAGCCGGCTGACCTCCCCCTGCAAGGGTCGCAGGGCTTCCTTCATCCCTTGGATCTCCCCCTGCATCTCCTGCAGCGCCTTGGCCCCCGCCTCCCGTCTCTCCAGCAGCCGCAGCAGTTGGGGCTCGTAGTGCTCCTCCAGGCCCCGCCGGCTCTCTGCCACGAAGCTCTCGAACTCCATGGAGAGCCGGCGGCTCTCCTGCAGGTACAGGTTGTCCTGCCGACACGGCGGGGTCTCCAGCCGCTGCCTCAAAACCTCCTTCTCCTTCTCACAGGTCTCCTTCAGCTGGGAGAGTTCTCCGGAGAGTTGCCCGGCCTGGGTCTCCAGCTCGCCCCGGTAAGCAGCGTGCTGGGAGAGGTCGTGCCGCCGGCTCTCCAGCTGGTACTGGCAAGCCACACACTCCTTTGTCACCTTGAACAGCTTCTGCTTGATCTGCCGGATCTCATCCTTCAGGTTGTCCCTCTCCAGCTCCACCTTGGCCAGCAGCCGGCAAGCTGCCTGGATCTCCTCGTGGGCAAGGCGGATCTCCTGCAGCGCCGGCTCCCGGAGCTGGGAGAGCTCGGCAATCAGGCTGTCTCTCTCCTTCTCCAGCTGCTCCACAGCTTCGATGCATTCTTGGAAATAGTCCCCCAGCTCTTCGAGGGTCAGGCACTGCTGCTCTGCATCCAAGGGGCCACCTGCTCCCTCTGCATCCATATCCAGTGGGATTCCTGCCCCATCTGCATCCGCATCAGGGATCCCTGCCCCATCTGTGTCCATGTACAGCGGGAGTCCTACTCCATCTGCATCCACATCCAGTGGGATCCCCATCCCACCTTCATCCACGTCCAGCGGGATTCCTTCCACATCCAGTGGCCTCCCTGCCCCATCCACGTCCAGCGGGATTCCTGCCACATCCACATCCAGCGGGATCTCAGCCCTGGCCGCATCCTCGCCCAGCTGGGGCCCTGGCCCTAGCTCCAAGGAAGAGTCCTCGCCATCTACCTGCAGCTTCCAGCAGGTGACAGGGCTGTCCTGGTTCAGGGGTGTCCCCCCCACACCCTCTGCTGTGTCTAAGGGGCTGTGAGAAAGGTCTGGGTGTGGAGCAGCTCCTGAAGCTGCATCCTCAGGGGCAGAGGATGCTCCAGCTTCACCCGGCTGCAGCTCTGGAGGGGGCTCGGGCTCTGCCATCAGGTCCCTGGAAAAGAGAGAAGACGTGAACCAGAGCAATGAGTGTAACAGGTCTCAGCCCTTCCCCTCCGCCCTGCAGCAGGCTGAGCTGGGGTTGCTCTCGCCGCAGCCCCCGCTGCTGTCACTGTCCCCGTGTCACCCAAGGGCTGTTTAAGCTGGGCAGGGCTGTGCTGGCACGCTCCGATGACAACTTGGACCCAAACCATCGCCTTTGGCAGGGGCCAAACCAAGGGAAGAAAACCCTCCTAAAGCGATGGAGGAAGAGTGAGGGAGGCAAACTCGGACCCCAAAACCAAGAGGTACCCCAGTGTTGATGGGAACTGCCCACCGTGTCACGGCCGATCCCCCCCAGTGTCACCAGTGTGACTGGTGAGCTTGGAGCAGAGCAAAAGCTCACACGGGGGGTGCCGCACACCCCGCACGCGGGGGCACCGCCACTAAAGCTTCTCAGGATTTTAGCAAAGGGGGGAAAACCTCGTGGCAAGGGAATGGGCTGCTAAAGGGCAGGTGGGCTCCAGGGTGGCTGGGATGGAGTAAAGCACCACACACACACACACAGCGCCCGAGCGAGCGGCAGCTCCTGCAGCAGGAGCCGGGCTTTGCAGAGTCATCCGATCCCGACATTATCCCAACCCCCGGTACCTGCAGCTGCCACCACAAATACTCCCATCTCGCATTCACCCGGGTGCTGTTTGGGGTAGGATGGAGAGGACAACCCTCAGGGAATGAGCAGGGGCTTTTCCTGCTGCTTCCAGCGCCGGTGGGGTGGGTGGGAGGATGCTCTCACCTCCCGGCCACGCCGCTGAGCTCATGTCTCGTCATCCCCCAAGGAATGAGCGCAGGAATGAGCGCAGGCTGGCACTCGCAAGCAATGGCTTTAGGGAAAGAACTAATTTTCACTGATACTTTCTCTCCTAATAAGGTAGTTTTCGGCAGTGATGACACATCACAGCCTCGGACCCAGCGGCCGGTCGGCTGGAGAGGGGGCAGCGCCTGGAAAGGTGGGGAATGGGCTCCACTTCATTTTTTCTTGCCCTCGTACCGTGCCAGCGCTTATTTTTCAAAGTTCTCGGCTCTGCTTTGCATCGGCAGGGCGGGGGGGAGGATCCGTCCCACCCACACAGCGGGGCGCAGGGGCTCGCTCCCACCCACCACCCCTCGTCCCAGACCCCCCCCCAGCACTCCTGGGTACCCCGGAGGAACCATGTTCCCCCCCCCTCGGTGACTCCTGAGGGTCCAGGGATGCTCCCCGGGTGCTGAACCTCAGATCTCCCCACTCCTTTCCCCCTCCTCACCCCATGCTTTGGCAGCCCCCTC